TTCTTTTTCTGTTCTGAGATATCTACATGTATTCTTCTAGGTGCGGAGGGGCATTCAGTACAGTTCAATACTTCCCATTACATTGTTTTGCAGAGGCTTTAGATTTAAGGAGAGAAAGCAAACCAGGCCATCTGCTCTTGGCCATCTCAAATGACAAATTCTCTTAATATCTTTTTTCCAAGAATAATGAAAATAAGTAAAAATTCAAAGTAAGAGCAAAGGGGATGAAGATGGAATAGTAGAGACTGAAGCATCCCAGTCACAGCTTGAATTGCTCTTGTTTTTCCCTCCTCCTCTGCACTGTGTTCCATCGCTGCACATCATCTATCCCAGCATCCAAGAGGAACTCTTCTCCCAAAGTCACCAGGGAGCTCCTGGTGGTCCTCGTCATAGACCCTTAAAACACTTCTTCTGTCACTCAGTATCAACTCCACTGCCCGTCTACTGTGTGAACAGACTGTTGTAGGTGACCCAGTGACTACAGAAGAAATACAGCCGGGATGCAAGACAGAGTAGAGACCAGGAAGCACAGACAGCCATGAGCGCCACGTGAGCGTCATCTTGACGTCTTTTGTCTTCCCTTCTGTACCTCCATCTTTTCTGTGTGATCCTTCTATCCTCATGGAGTACGCTCCCTCCTGACAACCATGCTGCACTCAACATCTGCAGCCCAGAACATTTTCCTCAATTGAGCCTCATTACTGTATTGATGGTTGTGATAGCTGAGCTTACGTTTCAGCTTTACTGAAATCAAAGATGGCCTGATAGCTGGCAAAACGTTGTTTCTGGGTGTGTCCATGCGGGTGTTTCCAGAAGAAACTAGCATTTTCATCAGTCACTGAGTAAAGAAGATCACCCTCACCAGTATGGGTGTTATCATCTCACCAAACCCCAGGGTCACTACTCACTAGCTTAGTGACCTTTAGGAACCTTCTCTCACAGTCATGCTAAGATCACTCTAAGTGACTTCTGCAAAGGTATAATGAGATGAAGTCTGAAGCCACATGAGATCATTCACTAGCCATCCAATGGAGTTGGAATTTGCTGTGGGCCGCCAACCAGCTCCCAAATAAAGACATGGAGACATTGTTAATTATGAATGCTCGGCCTTAGCTTAGGCTTGTCCCACTAGTTCTTTTAACTTAATTTAACCTGTTTCTATTCATCTATATTTTGCCTTTCTTTCATCCCATATGTCCTACTTTCCTGCTTCCTTCGTGTCTGTCTGTCTGGCCCCTGTTGTCTCCCTGGCATCTCTTTTTCTTTCTCTCTTGAGCCTAAATTCCTCATCCTACTTACTCTTCCTGCTCACAAGTTCGTCTATACCTCCTCCCTCACTATTGGCCATTCAGCTTTTTATTAGACCAATCAGGTTCCCCAGGCAGGCAAGGTAAAACAGCAACACATCTTTTCATAATGAAACAAATGCAACACATCTTTGTGTAGTTAAACAAATATTCTTCAACAATCCAACTTCACTCAAACTCTTGAAGCTTGGATTTTTCCCTGGACAGTACCTTCATATGGCAGTCAGCCTCCCCACCGTATACACTGCTAGCTCCATCATCTTGACTATCAGGACTTTTTCCCTTTGTTGAGTCAAAGTGTATCTCCTTCTGCTTTTTGGTCTGTTATCCCTGGTTCTTCTAGTCCTTGGGCATTTAAGGGAGTTCAGTGGATCTCCTCCAACTCTGGGTAGCTTGAATGGAAAGAGCCTCCACGGGATCATATATTTGAATACTTGGCCTCCAGTTGGTGGAACTGTTTGGGAAGGATAGGAGGTGTGGCCTTGTTGGAGGAGGTATAGCACTGTGGGGGGGGGGGCATACTTTGAGGTTTCAAAAGCCTACACCACTCACAGTTAGCTTTCTCTGCCTCGTGTTTGTGGATCAAGATGTAAGCTTTAGCTGATGATCCATTGCCATGCCTGCCCACCTGATGCCATGCTCCCCACAATGATGGTCATAAACTCTGAAACGGTAAGCCCCAAATAAATTCTTTCTTCTATAAGTTGCCTTGGTCATGGTGTCTTATCACAGCAATAGAGAAGTAATTAAGACAAACCCCATGAATCAAGCAGAAGCGAGTGTGTTTAGGTATCCACACTATATCACAGCTGATTGGTTCAAGGGTAGGAACTTGACTCAAGTCAGATCAATCAAAATCCTTCCCTAGGATTTCAAATATCGGAATCAAAGCAAACTACTGTTGAGTTCTGCAACCTAGAAAGGTCAGGCTAGAGGATGAGAGAATGAGGGATCAAACTGGGTTTGAGAGGCAGCAGAGTGGGGGCAGGAGGAGAGATCAAGACCTGATGACAGAATCCCTGGTTCTAGCTGTCTACGGGGTCCATCCATTTCCTTGCTTTTACACGGGTTTGCTAATTTTGAGGTCAGTTTGGGGTAGTTTCCTGTTTGCAGATACTTCTTCCACAGTACCCACATGCACTCATGTTGAGATTCAACACTTAAGTCCTCTGCCTTGAGCCATTTGTGTCTCCTCACAGTTCACTAACTCTGTGCAGTGATGGGAATTAGGGGAAACTGAGGAAAGCCATACAGAGCTTTGCCTGGCATTTACTATTAAGTTATCTCTAAGTCTTGGTTTTGACTAAGGAGTCTGTGGCTTCAAACTGCTTGAAAATCTGTCCTAGATTTTCAGCTCTTTGGGGCAGCACCCATACTGGCTTCACCTTTGCCCTCTTCGTGAGTAGACCACGTGGAGTCACATGGTGTCATTGGTCATTGTTGTATGAATCAATGAATTTTCCAGTTGGGTTCCTTCATCATCTGGCTATTTTCCTTTGAAGGCACTGGGCTGCAAGTCACCTGGAGTTGCCTTTATCCACACTATTAACCTCTCCCTTCCCAGGGGGACATTTGCCTTCTGCCAGGCCTGGACAGGACACCACCAAGGCCCACACCCGCTAACACACCTAACTCGTCAGCTGGTGAGCTAACTTGGAGGATGCACTTCCTCTCAAACCGAATTTCTGCTCTCTTCCTTTCAAATCCTGCTATGCTGTCCTTCAGTAATGAAAACAGCAGAAATCATTTTCAAGAGGAAGCCAGCTGGTTCATTAGTCTGATTAAACCCAAGCAACAAGATCCGAGAACAGTCCACATACTGAATGCAGGGATTTCTCTCCGGCCTCAGGGAGATTGGCAGTGATTATTAATCCAAAGGCTCAGTTGCCATCACATCTGCAAACTCATGTGGATCATAGAGAAAGGACTGGATTATAGAAAGAAAATGTCGGGGCTCTCTGAGTCAATAGGGTGTGGTCTCCCCCCTCAGCCTCATTGAAGACTTCTGGCTGACTCTCCAAAGTATGCCAGCCTCCCCTACCTGTTGAGAAAACCATGGTCTTCAAAGTCATTGAGGTTTATCTTTAAAACTAGATTTTAGAATTTACCAGCTACATGATTTGAGGCTCTGATTCTTTAGCCTAAAAGGGAGATAAAAATACCTATTTATAGGGAAGCCACAAGGCCTGATAAATAGTTGATGTTCCGGATGCTGTGGTTTGGAATGAGTGGAATGTAGGCAGGAGTCAGGAGAGGTGACCATCTAGTGGCAACACCTTAAGAGGAGGCAGAACCACACAAGGGCATACAAGTTGGACAAGCAGTTGAGGATTTATATTAAAAGTAACAAGGAGATTGTAAAAAAAACAAAGTCACTGGAGGGTGGGGGATCAGCTCATTCTTGCTGCAGGGCAGAGGGGTGGTGAGGGGGGCTAATGTGCTGGAGGTGGGGAGAGTGGCCAGAGGCCAGGGCCACCTCCAGGGTAGATTGATGGGCAGCTAAGTGAAAGAAGTAGGGCCAGGAGGGGTTTGTCTTCTAGCAGAAGCCTGGGGGTCAGAAGGAAGCAGAACAAACTGCCATTGCTGAAGGACTGAAGGAAGAAGCAGTCTCTGGCCCTGGAGGCCTGACAGAAAGTGAGAGCCATTTTCTGAGGAAAAACCAACAAACACAGCGAAGGCCACGAGATGGATTCAGCCTGAGAGACAGTGAGTGTGAGGTGCCATCCTCAAATTCCCCGCTTAATGGCATCAAATCCAGTTTGACAGAGGTACTGGACTGACCTTGTCTGAAGAGACCCACTCCCCGAGCCTTATTTGTGGAGAGATTCATAGGCAGGCTGGCAAAGAACATTCTGTCAATCCAGTTTGAAAGTCTCCCTAGGCGAGGGCAGGCACACTGGGACTGGGGTGGCTTTAGAAACGCTGCTATGGTTTCTAACAAGAAGTCACTTCCTGCACAACTCCAACCAGAAAGGTTTGTATCAAGGTTGACAGGGGGAAAGGTCACAATGACGGGGGGGGGGGGGGGGGGGGGGGGGGGGTCAGGAAAAGCATAAAGATAAATGATAAACAAAGACAATAAAGAAAAGGAAAACATGGCAACCTGTATACAAAGGAATCCCGGAAGTGGTCTCCAATGGGAGGGAGAAGTGGACTGGACCACCAGGTGGACTCAGCAGAGCAGAAGGACCACAGTTATAGAGCGCAAAGTCTCACCTTAAATCCCGCGGGAGAAAGCCTGGCTGGGTGACCTTGGCAGGGCGAGGTCAGCTCCGTGAGCTGCCGTCTTTTTTGTCTTTAGAGTAGTTATACAAATACTTCTCTTGCGGGGCCAAGGTGAGACAACACTGTGAGGTGATCTGCGCAGTGAAGGAAGTGGACACTTTCACTAGTGGTCACTCAGTTTCCCCCTTGTCAACCCCGGGATATCCCTGCACCCCATGGACCTGCTCTGGCCCCACAGCTCAGAAAGGACACTGACTACCTGGCATCCTCGGCACTGATCCTCCCACCCATGGAGCTCTGAGGAATCCCTTTTGGCTTGTGGACAAAGTAGGGTTTGATACCCAGTTTGTCTGGAGAAACTGAAGATGGAAGGAGCCTGGCCTCCGTGTCTGGCAGCGCAGCGTGTGTCTCCTGCCCCACCCTCCCACCCCCACCCCCACCCCCACCCCTGCACAGGATGACCTTAGGCACATTGTCTGGCTCAGCCGAGCCTCATGGTCCCATCTCTTCCTATCAGGCTGACAAGAAGAAATGGCATAGCCTGGGAGACCCTGCCTGGCCCACAGTAGGCAAAGGATATCTGTCTTCCTTTCCATTTTCCTTTGTAATAGCTTTGAGGTTCCAGAAAGGATTAGAAATTAAGTAGAAACCGAATATTGCTAAATGGCATCATCTACTCTCTCACATCACCATCAAATCTAATTGTCAGCAGCAGAAGGAGCAGAAAAACAAGCGTCCAGAATCCAGCAAGGTCAGCCGACCCTGTCTGTGTAGACCGGTGGCGACATGCTCCCAGCCGTCCCTGTTTCGAAGCTTCAGAACTGAGGCAGCATCAGTACCAAGGCTGCAGAAAAAGATGTCTCCCCACCTTGGGCTTTGAGCTTACACGTTTCCAAGTACAAGAGGCAGTGAGTACAATCTTAGAGATTCTTCTGCATCTCTCTTCGCTGCCCCAAAAGCAAGAAGACAGCACTTGCCACTCAACTTCTGAGTTAGAGTTGTGGGGAGATCACGGAGTTAAATTGTGCATTGATTTTAATAAGTCAATGTGGAGATAAGAAATAAATCTAAAACACATAGAGATATGCTTCAGACTTGGCCTCAGCACCCAAGGAAGAGAAAAGTCCACTGTCCACTGACAGCAATATGTCTGAGGGAAACGTTTGAAAAAGGCTGTGTGTCTATGGACTTGTGTCTTCTGTTCCCTTAGAGGAGCTATCATCTGAAGCCAGCCCCCTGCTGTTCTCACCCCTAGAGGCCAGAAGGGCTTTTACAGAAGGACCCAGGGAAGGACAAGGCCAGTCTGAGAGTCCCTAGGAGAGTTCACCTAGGAGTTCGTAGGAAGTCCTCAGGACAGAAGAACAAGCAGGTCATCCACCTCTTAGAAGCGGGAGCTAGGCTGCACCGAGTCCACTCGGGGTGGGAGTCTAGCACTGCCTCAGGAGGAGAGCAGGTATGCTGTACTTCAAAACCAGCCCCGGGAGGGGAGGCCTGAGCTACAGCACTTGCAAATGGCTGTGGTGTGAGTACTTCCACCACAGCTGGTCTGGAGCTACCCAGAGATGTCACTGGCTCGGGTAGAGATGACTACTATGACCTCTGAAGACTCAACTTGGGAGGTTCCTGGGGCTCCGCCACCTACAGCTGTCAGTAGCCCATGCTGTGGCCTAGAAAGGCAGATGGAGGGTCCTAACTAATGCAGGCGCACAAATAATGTTTGCGAAATAAATGTTTGTTGGGTGGACCTCCGAGTGAGCAAGTGATGTTCCCGGACAGGAGGAGTAGAGAAGCTAGCCTCTGGCCTCTACCGAAACATCTCATAAGGAAGAGGTGTGCTTGGTTCTTGGGATTACCTGTGGATGAAAGCTGAGCCAACAGAAGGACGTGGCACGGGAGCAAGCTTTGAGTCTGTCTGAAAATGGTAATGGCACTCCCAATTCCTATAGGCAGACAGAAGGCAGGATGCTCTCTGCCTCCCACCTCTTTATTACCATCTCACATCTATTCCCCTGGCTTCCAGCTTTGCTCACACTTCAGCCTGGGAAAAGAACTGTCAGCAATTGCCATGTATACTAAAGGACTATCCGGCTGCTTTGCGTCCTTGGCCCAGCAGAGGTTGAGGTCATTCAAAGCGAAAGAAGGCACCATCCTGTGTCTTTGTCCCATGAAGCAGTGTGTGGGAAGGTCTCCCAGGGTGCTAAGATTTTCCTCCCATGCCTGACTCTCTCCCTTTCAGGCTGTAGCCTACAGCACTGTTCTCACCACCACTATCCCCCTATACGGCCACGTTACGTTCCAGCTACAAAAGTGTGGGCTCTCTGGGGGCAGAGAGCAATACTCCTGTCTGAATCCCAGGGCTGATTGCCGCATCTGGCATATGACTGTGCCCCAGAACCGTGTGTTACATAAGCACACTTGGAAATGAGAAAGCCCGCTTCCCACACCTCTGATTTCAACGTCCCAAACTGGGTAAACTCCTGGAAACACCTAGAAACAATCCACAGACACTTAATTCGTGAAACTGGCCAATTATCTGTGAGGAGGCAACTTGGAGAGGCAGAGAGTCTCCAGTCCACGTCCTTCTAGGGCCATTTGTAGAAATCTATTTCTCAGAGACAAATCACCACAAAAGCTTTGAAACACAGACAGTTCCCTACTTAGGAACATGTTGTGTTCTGGAAGTCTATTTATGAAATAGTTGTTTGAAATTCAGATGCACTTTCTCGTAAACCACGACCAGAAGGGTGACTGGTGGCACAGCTCTAACCTGGAATGTGTGCAGAGGACAGCTGGAGGAAGCGAGAAAGCTGTGCTTTCCTCTGAACGTCACAAAATAGGTGCGCAGAGCACGTCAGACTCCACAGTAGCCTCTGGTCGAGGAGCAATACCAAAGCAGTTAAGCTGCTGTTCTGGCTTTGGTGAACACAGGGTCACCCGTCAGTCTTGTTTGAAAGGCAAATTTCCAATCTTCCCTGGAGTCAGGCAGAATCAGGGGTCTGGGAGAGGGCCATGGGAGTCTTCCCAGATGATGTGAGCAGCGTAGCGAGGGAAGAGGGAGGTCACATCACCGCTCCTGGGATGACGCCGCCCTCTCTGAGGTCTGAGGCTTCTTTTGCTCTTTTGCCTCAGAGCCACGCCCTTTCTTTCCTGCTTCTCTCTTGAGTAAGAGAGGAAGGCAAGCAACCCCTGTCCCTTCCCAGGATGAGTGCAGATCAGGGAGTTAGGCTAAGAGCCAGGCCAGAGACGAAAGAGGCTCCGCCATTCACTGAACAACAGTCACCTGGGGTGCTGGCGAGGAGACTCAAAGAGCTTGGTAGACTTGGAAAGTGGCCTCTTCCCTGAGTCTTCTTTCCTTAGTCCCACTTTCCTGCCCATGCTTACTCCAGGTCCATGCTCAGAAGAGTGGCATTGGTGGAGTAATGTACCTGGAGAGAGAGAGAGAGAGAGAGAGAGAGAGAGAGAGAGAGAGAGAGAGAGAGAGAGAGAGAGAGAGAGAGAATAAATAGTCATTTTATTATGGTATTGCTCTACACCTGTATTAAAATCACAAGACAAAAGCATAAAGATACAGACCAGGCAATTGTAAGCCAATTTTCTATAATACGGAAAAATCTGTTCACAGGTTCTGTTGAAGGAAAATCACAGTGGGAGAAACCTTTAGAGGAAGTGGGCAATCTGCCTTTTAGCAGGCTCTTACTAGTTAGGACACCCCAAGCCATCAACGCCTGCAAACAAAAGCCCTTGGGACAGTTGCACACACGACCACAGATGTTTGGCATGCAGGAGGAGCACAGAGACAGATGTTCTTTTTGCCATCCAGATCCAGAAACTTAAGGCCAATGTTCTATGTTGATATTCTTGACACTCGATTGTCGTGGAATAATCTTTCTGTACACTGTGAAGATGTGTCTTTGCCAAGGAGCCTTCTTGTTGGTTTAATAAAAAGCTGAACAGTCAATAGCTAGGCAAGATTTTGGGGGCAGAGAGAACACTGGGAAGAAGGTAGAGTTGCCAGCCAGACACAGAGGAAGCAGGAAAGCAGCATGAACAGAAGGAATAAAGATAATAAAGCCATGAGGCAGAAAGTAAGTTAATAGAAATAGGTTAATTTAAGTTATAAGAGCTCATTAGAAACAAGCCTAAGCTATCAGCTGAGCTTTCATAATTAATAAGAAGTCTTCTTGTGGTTATTTGGGAGCTGGCAGGTGGGACAGAAAACTCCACCTAAACTCTACTATGTGCAGCACTTGGAGCATGATGGGAAAGTAATCAAGATACAATCCAGGGAAGAATGAGATAACTGTCCCTCAGATGGGATAGGGCAGCAGACATGAGGCACACCTGGGTAAACCATAATGCAAGGCAGCCTATAAACATCTGAATGAATTGTGAGCAGATTTTAGTGAGAGCATGGGGAGAGAATGATTGCCTCCCACTGGGTTGATTTAGGAGGCAGGACGGGGAGGGGTGGATGGGAGGAAGCAAGTCTTCAATTCCAATCACTAGTACCACCTGAGTAGGGGATGGGGCAGGGTGGGTGAAATGTGATTAGAAGATGAAGCTAGAGCCTGAGTGGACAGGTAAGCTAAGACTCCTTCACGTATGACCCTGAATACCATTCAGGGAACACTGGCTTTACTATAAAGTAGTGGCCACAGCAATACCATTCACCAGGCTACTATGTGGCTAACACTGTGTTAGATTGCTCAGACAACATTCCCTCTACTCCTATGCCATGTCCAAGTGCCACGACACCTATTTCAGGTCAAGAAACCCGATGCTTCAAGGACGTTTGAGCAAATGGAGGATTTTCAGAAGCACCTGTCCTTCTGACAGGTTGGTTCCTGTCAACTTGACAGAAGCTGTAGTTATCTGGGGGAAAGAATGGCAGTTGGGAAATCAGCTTGCTGTCAGCAAGAGCTTGGGGGCATTTTCTTGATTAATGATTGATGTGGGAGGGCTCAGCACAGTGTGAGTGCTGCCACCCTTGGACAGTCAGAGCTGGGCTGTACAAAACTGAAAGCTGAGCATGCCATGGAGAGCAAGCCAGTAAGCAGCATTCCTCCATGGCCTCTGCATCAGTTCCTGCCTCCAGGTTCCTGCCTTGGGTTCCTGCCCTGACTTTCCTCAGTGATGGAGTGTGACCTAGGAGTCAAAGCTGAAATTAACTCTTTCCTCCCGCTGGCCCCTTTTGGTCATGGTGTTTCCTCGTAGCACACTACACATCACCTCCTAACACAGCAATTCCGCCAGGAGCAAATGAAGGATGGATGGGAGAAGTGGGCACTTGGTTTCTCGCTTTCTGTGACATTTTGTCCCTACCCACCCCCAAATCAGTTCACAAGGAATAAAGAAGTAGCTAGTGATTCTAAAAACGTACTGATCCTCTCAAAAGCTCTGCAGCCAGGCATGCTTTGGGGTTTATGGTCATTTCTGGAATTAGAACCTATTCCTGCCCTGGAGAGCTTCCTGGCAATCCACATGACCCCCACCCCCCACCCCAAGCTACAGTGAGGAATTCCACAGCAGCATCTCCTGACCAGGCAGTGAAGAACACGGACCCAGAGTCACGCAGTGAACCAAAATTAGCTTCTTTACAAGCTCATGAAAGTGGGGTGATTAGTGTCTGTTGCCCAAAATATACAGGAAGGTGAAAGCTCCCTCTTCCTTTCTCACATGCCCCTCTCACACCTCTCTTCTCTTCTTGGCATCATCTATCTCCCTGTAGACAATAAAGAAAATGAAATCTCAGGTGGGTGAGTGTCGCCATCCCTTTTCCCAAGAAATCCACTGTGGGCAACTTCAGGGGTGTTGCAGATTCCAGGCAGGGAAAGATATTTGCAGTCAGTCCTGAACTGAGGCCAGTACCCTTATTAACTTTTTTCATGTTAAAAATACTGTTATTCTAAAAAAAAAAAAAATTTAAGTTACCATTGGGAGCGCAGAGACAGAGCTCCTGGCCCCAGGAGTATGCTGAAGTTCCTTAGGAAGCCTACAAACCAGTGAGTATTGTAACAATTCAACATTGTTGCTTCCAGACTGTTGGGGGAAGAAACCATCTTTCATCTTTCTCCACGTCTTGACACAGCACTTCTAAACCTGCCAAAGCAGCAAGCATGGTGGGAGACACCCAGAGTCATAGCATTTGGACGTTGAGGCAGGCAGACCCGGTGTTCAAGGCCAGCCTGAGCTACAAGCAAGCCCCTGCCTCAAATAACCACAAAATAAAGCTGACGGAGACCTGCACATGTACCTCTTCATTCCATTGCTATCCGCATTTTAGAGAAGAAGGTGGGTCCAGATGGCCTGACCGGATCTTCCAGCTCCTCTCCTCTTTTATCTATTTTATCTACTCTTGAGTCTCTGACTTCTTTTTATGCTTTTTTTCCCCTCTCAAAGCTTGTCCATACTGTTGTGAGGGTTTCCCCAGGTTGCCACCCTAGCAATCAGCAGTGTTTAGAAGTTGCTCGGTGGCAGTATTTTATCAGAGTACAAGAGCCAGGGATGGTGGAAATGGAGACCATTTCCAACCTCTTCATTTTACTTGTCAAACAAAGCCCCAAAGCCCACTGAGAGGATGATATGCCTATATTCTCAAGGCTGGATCCATACGTCCCATTCATGACAAAACTGGGGTCATTCTATCTCCATCCCAGAGGCTCACTAGCCGGATGCACTCCTGCATCGTAATCAAAGTCAAGAGGGACGGCAAGGTGAGGACTGGGGAAAGCCGGCTCCTGTCCTGCCATCGAGAAAATGGAAAGAGTCTGTTGGTTTGGGGCTTGTTGATCTGCTGTAATGCTCGATTTTTTTTTCAGAATGTGACAAAGGTGAGGTCTAGAAAAGTAACCCAAGACCCCTGAACCCAGCTCCCCATAGCCCCAGTCACTGAGCCACCTCGCGCTTCGTAGACCGGTTCTTGGTGCCCTCAGAGAGCCAAATGTCACCCTGCCTGCCAGAGACAGTTGGACTTAAAAATTTCCAGACACAGGTGGCTGACTCAGCCCTCGCTTTGCTGTGGTGATGGTGATCAGGCATCAGCTGTTGGCTCGGATGATGTGTTCCCAAAGCAACATGGTGAGTGTGAGCTGCCAACCTCGGAGGCTAGGGGAATGCAGTGTGTTGAGCCAGTTAAACACCCCAAACCGCCCTGTCTCTCAGAAATAAGGATGACTCATCAGAGGGCTCCGTGACTGGGAGAGGCATTAGGGAAGCTGCAGGCCCCGGAAACCTGCACACAGAGGGCCCCAGATTCCCTGTCTCTGGCTCCTACTCACAGCCTCTACCCTACCTGAAAATTAATATAGGCTCCATCCCGAAACCCTGCCCTCCTCCTCCGGGAAGCATATCTGCTCTCTTCAAGCCAAGAGCCGTTCTTTCTCACACACTGAGGGCCTGCTCTGTACAATGTGGCATTTAGTGCTCTACCATCTCCACTGTTTATAGCTGACATGGGTTACAGATTCTCTACGGAGAAACACTCAGGTTCCTCCTCTGCATTCACAGTGCATCTTAGAGTGTCACCTAGGAGTGATGATGCACAGCCTCCTCCAGCTCACCTGTGTCTGCGTGTGCAGCAGGTGCTCCATAAACCCTGACTGTGTGAACTATGGCTACAGCCTTTGCAAATAAAGAGCTCAGTGGCCAGGCCTCTGTGCCAGTTGGGGGAAGGATACCTCTCCCTTCCAGGCAGACAGGGTTCATAGCCAAGCAAGAGGAGCATCCCCTGGGCTGGAGACCCTGTACATTGAGGCACTGGCACCATTGGGGTTGTGGCTCCTTGCAAGAGATCATTCTCCTCATGTCCCTCCTCAATGCTCAGTTCCAAGGGGGAGCATCTCCCACCTTGGCGAAGCTGGCATCAGACAGCTTGCTTCCTTCTTGTCTGAAGGGGGGGAAAAAGGAACACACACACACACACACACACACACACACACACACACACACACACACACACACCAAAAAAAAAAAGAAAAAAAGAAAAAAAAAACAAACAAAGAAAAGACCTCACTGTGTATTCACTGCAAGAAGGATATTTGGAGGCTTTCTCCCAGCCCATTCCTCTCAGCCTCACTCTCTTTTGCTGGGAAGGCCCAGAATACAAATTGTCATAATTTCTGACTTTTGCTTTCTCTAAGTATGGAGTGCCCATTTCCCCCTGGTCTTTGAATCAAACAGCTAGCACCCTTTCCACACCCATCCCCCACCTTGCCTCCTCATATTTTCCTAATCAAACTAGCTGTTTCTTTTTGGTGCCTCTGTCACCCCACCAAGGTGTCTTCCATATTTCTCTGACCTTTTCCTGCATGTTACTAGAATGGAACTCAGACAGCCATCTCTTAGCCCCCTGTTGGCAAGACTTCAAGTGCTTACCCTGTGTCTTCCTTAACGTTTAACTCAACACCATCCTCAATCCCCCACCCCAAAGAATCTATTCAGAAACACACTGGTGAACAATTTTGACTTCATAATGATATATTTTATAGGCGCAAGTGCCTTCATATTTACCAATCTTTATAAGCATTTCTATTCTCCAGATTCTTGCTTGGCATCCTTTCCAGAGTTTCTTATTATTATATAATAACTTCCCCAGCATGCCAAGTTGGATCTCCACATTCTACCTCTGCCTGCCTTCCCAATTTGTCCCATCAAGCTTATTATCTACTTATTGTAAAAGACAGAACGACTCCATGTTGTCCCAACTCCTACCTGTAATCATGTACTCCCCATCCAGGCTCTCCTTCAAGTCAGCCTTCTCTAGAATGCATCCAGAGTCGATTGAGCCAAGCGTTTTTCTTGTGACGATCATGCAACCGTGTTTGCCTCCTCAAGAATGCCGTTTAAAAGGTAAGGATTTCATCTTCCATAGTCACTCAGCCCAGCACACTGAAAATGTATACAGTAAGCCTGTGCATAGTGAAGATGTATATAGTAAGCCTGTGCTCAGTGAGGATGTATACAGTAAGCCTGTGCTCAGTGAGGATGTATATAGTCAGCCTGTGCTCAAGGCCTACCTTTCAAAAGGACAGGACCCAAACAGTTCTAAGCCCTTTCTGTCTCCCCATTCCTCTTTCCTCCCAGGTAAGAGTCATGACTGGAGCCAGTGACAAGTGCCAGAAGACACAGCAGAAACTAATAAATATCTGCGAAATGAATAAGTCAGTAAGAGAGAGACAAGAAAAGATGAAGAACTCGTACATGTGTCACAGAATACCCTCACACCAAGTGTGTCAGCCTACCCAAGCGTCGGAAGCTGCCCAGGGTGCGTGGGATGAGGCGTGAATAGTGGGTAACAGGATGAAGGGTGAGCACAGGGTTCCATCATCGGCTTTACCCTTGTAGCCGTGGGAAGGAAGTGAAGAAAGGTCTCTGGGCCTCCGTTCCTTCTTGGTTTCATCACCCTGCCTGCTGGTGGCCGGGTATGAATTAACCGCCAGGGCCCTTTGGTGCCTTTTCCAACAGTCACATTTGCAGCTTCGTCCCCAGATGCCTAGACACCCCGGGCCCCCAGGACCTCTGCACTCTGCAGAAAGCTTTTCTCGGCTGCAGTTCTACACAGGGACCTTCACTGCCCACGGGGCAGAAAAGAATTCTTGGCTGTGGACCCTGGTAAACTCCACATATTTTACAGATGAGACTCAACTCCTGGTGACTCTAAATGTGGTGTGAAATGGACAGAAGTCATTCTGCTGATGTGACATGCCTGAAATAACATCACCACTGCCGCCACCCCCATGCAGACACCCACGTCATGGAAAGAGACAGCCCTACAAGTCCCTGGGCCCCAGACACTGCTGCCTCCTTTTCTTTATCCTCAGTCCCAGGTCCTTTTCTCTGTTTTTCTACTTTTACATTTTTCTTGTTCTCTTTTTTTCGTGTGTGTGTGTGTGTGTGTGTGTGTGTGTGTGTGTGTGTGTGTGTTTTTGTTTGTTTTAGAGATGCTCTATTTGTCCTGTCTGAAGACAGTCCAAGGTCACACAAAGGCAAAGGGGGATATCACAATTCTCAGTCCTGAGACCTCATTCCAGCCCATTTCTGGCTAGCTGCATTGATCCCAACCATTTACACATGCAGAGGAGAAATGATCACCAATCTACTGCCCCTGAGTCAGGATTGTCAGAAATGTCCTCCTGGACAGGATGGACATCAAAGACACCAAGTTCCTAGAAAACAGAGAACTTGTTGATTTATTTTTATGTTTAATTTTTTTGTCTGCTTTGATTAGAATATAGAGGTAGCCCAGACCTAGGCTTCTAGGTTAAGGAAAACAGCCAGAGGATATTGTATTTTTCAAGTAATTGTCCTCTACCTTGAAGTCAGCTGGTCTCTTGCAGCCTCCAGCACGGCATGCATCCTCGCTGACCAAAGCCCTGCCAGTCAGGAGTGCCCTGATCATGCACACACAGGTTCCCACCAAACGATCGGCATCCGTGGGTGTGCGTGTGTGTGCGCACACGTGTTTATGTGTGTGCACCCGTGTGTTTGTGGGGGACGCGTGTGTCTGCGCGCGCGGGTGTGTGGCGGGGGCGGGCTCTGCGCCGGGGGGGGGGGGGGGGGGCAGGGCTCCGCAGCAAGAGTGGCAGCCGGACTTGCGATGCTGCGAGGGACAGGGTGCAGAGCCGCAGTGCTGTAGCGGGCAGCAGAGGCAGCCTGCCCTTCCAGCAGCGGAGCCCCTAGCAAAGGCGGAAGACCCCTGGGCCGCCAACCCTGGAAGCCGCCTGATGTCCCCGCCCCGGAGAGGGCTGCACTGCGAGGACCCGCTTCGGTCCCCTTCTGTCTCTGGGTTCCTCTTTCCTCCCAAGTAAGGGAATAAGCCGCTAGGAGGGAGCGCCCCACGGCAAGCGCGCAACCAAGGGTAGCATGGTGAGGTAAGACCGCGGCCGCGAACCAGGGGTCACCAGTTGCGGGGGTGAGGGGGGAGACCGGCAGCAACTTGGAAAACCAGGGCAAAGCGAGAGCGGGTCCCGCGGCTGGGAAAGGCGCTGCAGACGAGGCCCCTGCGCCCATCCTGACAGCGCCACCTGCCACAAACCCGGGCCCGAGGGGATGCGCCAGTGGACTGGGCAGGGTGGGGCCCCCTCCCTGTGCGGTGGGTCGGCACGCGAAGGTGTGCGGACGACAGGCGTCCTTGCTCAGGGCAGTTTGCTGAAGCAACTGGTCAGATGTCTTCCTTTTTTACGCTGGCTCCAGGATATTCAGATCGCGGCACCGGGAGCCAGAGGGCTTCTGGGAGCAGGGAAGGTCTTTCTGTTGCCTGGTGGCCAGAGCCTCTGGCAGTCCCGTGGGGTTCTGAGACTTTGGGACACTCTAAGTCCAAAGCCTCTTGGGTGGTGGACTTAGAGAGAAGCTGAACCGAATACAGACACCTTGGCAAATAAAGCGGGGAGCATCAGGGGAACCTAAAGCGGACCTGTTTGTTTTGAGTCACAAGACCTGTCTGCGTGTTTGTATCTTAATAAGGGTGCATCCAGAATCACCTGTGGGGCTGCGGGGCGTTCGAAAACTCCACCCGACCGCCTCGCCTCACCCAGTATCTTCTGATGTCCCTTTCGGGACTAGTGGACTGGAATTTGAGGAGGGGGCGGTGGACTTCTCAAAAGCCCTACAGGTGATACTGAGGATCTGCTTCCATCCCTGCCGCCGCCGTGGCAGTGGACAGGGAAGTCCTGCTGTGCACTTCAGGGTAGCAGAGAGACCCCTCCCTCCGTCTCCGGGGGCGTCAGGAGGGTCTGCTGAGGGATGAGGTGACTTGTGACAAAACCACAGTGGCGTTCTGGAGTGCTGTGTGAACCCACGGGCTCACTTGTCCGGGCTGCTAGGTTATGTGCCTGGGCCTCATTAGCATACGATGACCTCCCTGTGAGGAGGAGGTCCGAGGAGAGCTGTTTGTCATGCTTTCGCTTCAGAACTTTGAGGGACCCATGGTCTGGAGGTGTACAACGGTCACCTCCAAACATAATGAGGGACAGTAATCAGGCACAAGACTTTGATACCTTGGTGCCTGGGATTCAGTGTTTACACAAGGCAGCTGCTGGACCCACTTGCTGGAGAATAAGCACCTCACAGTCAGTGAAGGACTGAGGATGTTGGCTCACATCGCAAACAGAAACCGAATGCACACACTCACACGCACCCTTTACAACTGTACCCTTCTCGGTCTAGGGGGTGTCTCCTACCGTAGGAAGCTTCTTGCTTAAAGGGCTGTGTTTGACAGAAATTCCACTTTGAGTATAAATTGTACTCATTAAATAAAAGGCTGTAACTAAGCTCATTTCCTGTGGTGTTTCTGATCTGATCTAAGCCCCCTGATCCCACACACACACCATCCCCTTTAACATTTAACTCCAGCGTTCTAGGCATTATTGTTTCTGGGAGAGATCTGGGGGTGGGAAGGAAGTGGAACACTTTCCACTTTATATGTGTGTGTCCATGTCCTCCCACATGTGTGTACATGTCACGTGTCTCTTTGTGTGTTCATGCCCCTGTGTGTATACATGTCCCATGCCTGTGTGTGTGTACATGTCCCATGTTTCTGTGTATGTATGTATTCTATGTCTGTGCGTATATGCCCCATATCTCTGTGTGTATGTTCCATGTCTTTCTGTGTATATATGTCCCCCCTCTGTGTGTGTGTATGTGTGTGTGTGCATGTGTGTGTGTGTGCACGTGTGTGGGTGTGTGTGAGGTCCTCTATCTCTTTCCATTTTATTTTTAGAGACAGGGTCTCACTAAACCCAGAGTTCACTGATTCAACTAGACTGGCTGGCCATCACGCTTGGGAATCCTCCTGTCTCTGCCTCCTGGTGTCGGACTACAGTGGCTTTGCCCAGCTTTGTACATGGGTGTACCTGGATCAGAAGTCAGATCTCCATGCTCCTGGGGTGATCGTTTTACCAATGAGCCACCTCCCTGGCCCCCATTCACTTGCTATTTTTTATGTAGTCTTTTGTTCAGATCAGCTAAAATATGAGGGGGAAATGACAAAAATCAGAGCAGCTTGAAATGTAGAGTCTCAGATCTGGGAGAAACTCCTCCGATCAACTGTTCCAACTTCCCCCTGCCCACCCACCTGCCCACCCAACACCTGGAACAGGTGATGAGGCTCCCTCAAGCCCTGACCCTCCTAGAGGCTCAGTACATACGAGACTCTGTATGAGTGTCTGCCGAGGCTGGGTCCAGCTCCACCCCTGGAAGGGAAACAGGAAGTGCTGTTTCATTGTGGGTAACATTCCTTTTAAAATATATATATATATACATATATATAGTGTTGTATTGCATTATTATATACTCCTAATATAATAGTAGTTCTTGCTCATTGCAGAAAATTTGGGAAGTTGAAACTAAAAAATTATCACCCATGAGTCCTACCACCCAGATCTCACAATTTTTAATACATTGACATATTTCTCTTCGGTCTATTTTTACGCCTTGAAATCATACACTCCATAGAGGGCTGGCATTTGTAGGTAACCTAATAAATGTACTTTGCATGGTGTTAATCATTTTATCTTCATTATGTCATTTAGTCCTAGGAAGTCCCTCTGAGATAGGTGTTATTATTATCAACCCCATTTTTCTAGGATGGCATAGTGTACAGGTGACAGGCTCCAGTGACAGAGCCACAGTGCAAACCCAAGCTCACTGACTGCGATGAGCGGTCACTGTCGCTCCTCGGCTTTTTGTTTTGTTTTTCCTTAATTGGTCTTGTAGTGAGCGTCCCTCGCCAGCATCATTTCCCAGCTGTGTGTTATTATACTGTTAGCTATTTAAGTTGCGTGCTCTCCTCGACAACTACAAATAGGTCTGGGCGAAATCTTTACTATGCGCGTTTCCAGTTCCCTCTTTCGGGTGGATTCTCAGAAGGAGAATTACCAAGCCAAAGGGCCTGACTATTTGGAGGTTCCTTATAGGTACAAAAGACTTACATTGACTTACATGCCCATTTCCCTAGAGGCAGCTCTACCAAAGTCTAAGTAGGTAAATCTTGGCTACTCAAGAATTGTTGAGAGCTTCACAGGACAAAGCCGCATACATGAGCATCCCCAGCCTGATGGGAGAAGTCACACATGCCATCTAATTTAAACACTCAAATATGGATATGGGAACTGCTTTATATAAGGGTATTCTTACTTTATTGCTGTTGTTTTCTAAGACAAAGTCTCACTAATGTAGACTAAGCTAGCCTCAAACTCCCAGCAATCCTCCTGGCTCAGCCTCCAGAGTGATGAGATTACAGGCCTCTACAAGAATGCTTAGCTTTAAAACTGGACCTAGTTTTATGTGAATAACTGTGGGCCATACAATTCTTTGGGCTGGGCATCACATATTAACTTGGAGCAAATCAAACTATTGCATAAAATACATAGATGTACATAATATCCCACATCTTCACATAGTGATTGCAGTAATCTTCACCCTTACAAGCATACATTGCCATCACAGCCAGGTTCAATAGGTTTCCATTAGTCACACAGCTTCTTCATACTCTGGCCAGATTCACAGTGCTATTTGTTTACATCAAGTATTGGACTCCCACAGCAAAACCATCATTACTTATAAGTATCAGTTTGTCTGATCAAATATCAGTAACACAGCCCGGGAAAAAATCCAATCATGATAACTCCAGGTAAGACCATTTTTAAGAGGTTATGAACTGGTGAAGGGGCTGAGCTGGGAAGCACTCGCCATGCCCATGCCATAATGGAGACTAAGTTTAGATCACATCACCAACACAAAAAAGAAAGGGGCATGTGATATATATATATATATATATATATATATATATATATATATATATATATATATATATATATATATATATATATATATATATACCTATAACCCCAGCGCTGGGGAAATGGAGAGAGGAGGGTCCCTGGGGCTGGTTGGCCAGCCAGCCTGGCTATATCAGTGAGCTCCGGGGTCAGTGAGAAACCATGTCTCAAAATATAGAGTAGAAGAAGTTTGAAGTAGAGAGACTTCCAACCACACACACCTATGCACACATGCACACACATATATTCACACACACACACACACTTATGAATGTATACACACCTATGCACACACGCGGAAAGAGATTATCATCATAAAACTATCCTTGGGTCAAAGAAAAGGTGGCTGGCAAAGGAGGATCCCAATCAGACACCACCACCAGCACCACTCCACATGAGGGTAATTTTAAAAGAAAATGACTTGGCCCTGGTCATGGGTTTTCTTTAGAGCTGTGTTTGCCTCGTACCTACCTCTCCTACCAGCAAGGTCTATGTTGTTACATGTGGGATAAACATCGGTTGAGTCTCCAACTTTTGCAAGAATCAGCTCAGATCCAGAGAGGTCCTTCTGAAAACCTCTCCCCTACTGTGCACGGAGCATAGATGTCTCAGCAGCTCAGAGCATAGACTTGCTTTGCCATGGTGAAAACACTTCTTCATACGTCCTCACTAAGCTGCAGGCTCACTGACGGCCGAGGTATACCTAAGTTTCCGCTACATCCCCGGCACCTGAGGTTTATGCAGAGGTGACAATTCAATAGCATCTACTGAATAGATGGATAGACAAGTAAGAATGCCCGGTGCACTGTTCAGGGTGCTTTCTACACATTTCTCCTTCACTGCATCTGCATTCTGCTCAGGCCAGTCAGTCTCAGCAATATGATTGAGGTATATATACATAGAGTTATGTTGTCTGTTTTCACGTCTCTCTCTTCCCATGCTTACTTAAATCCTCAAAATATAACACAATTGGTCACACTGGTCATATTGCTTGTGCTTAAGCACCACAGGCAGCTTTTGGTGGCCACATTGGAGAAGGGACAAAAAAGCAAGTTTCCTTAACTGCACAGAGTCCAGCATCCTCAAGTGTGAAC